AGAATATATTTTTCAATCAAATGGTATACAACTAAATTGCGCTAAATACACCCAGATTTAAAGTTTTTTTGTTCATACCCAAACAATAAGCTTCCTCAGCAGGCCTAGGGGCTCGGTGGTTAGAGTGTAGTATTGTAGACAAACTCTGCAAACTGTACAGTCTGGAGTTCGATTGTGAGGGTGCTCAGGATTGATTCAGCCTTCCATTCTTCTGAGGTTAGTAAAAGTAGAATATTCAGAATATATTATTTTATTCAGAATAAAATGAGGACCCAGACTGTTGACAGCAATATGTTGACTTTGTAAGCACCCTGAGAGTGCTGTAAAGCACCATGGGGCTTTATGTAAGACTAAGTGCTATTGCTATTTTAATTTAGTGTAGGGAGCACTAGTTGAGACTCAATCAGTTTGGTAGTATTAGCCTTGCAAGGTAGACTAGACAGGAACAGTGGTGGGATTCAAAATCTTTTACTACCGGTTCTGTGGGCATGGCTTGGTGAGCATGGCTTGGTGGATGTGACAGAAGAAGGATACTGTAAAATCTCCATTCTCTCCCCATTCCAGGGGAAGGTTACTGCAAAATCCCCATTTCCTCCCAATCAGCTGGGACTTGGCAGGCAGAGAATAGATGGGGGTAGGGCCAGTCAGAGGTGGTTTTTACCAGTTTTCCAAACTACTCAAAATTTCCGCTACCGGTTCTCCAGAAATGATCAGAACCTGCTGAATACCACCTCTGAACAGGAAATATGGCTGATGAGCTAAGTCCACTTTATTGTAAGGTTATACTAAAAGAATCTTGCAAGCCTGGAAGTACATTTATCTAGACATACTTTTACAACTCAAGAAACTAGGGAGAGTCCCTTCTGAACTGTTGATCTACCCATATTCCTGCTGTGGCCAAAGTTGCCTTTTAGCTGACCTCTCTCTCTCCCCCCCCCCAGATCATTCTCACATACCATTACAGAGAGCTGCTGGTATGGTTACTGCAGGACAAAGTTCATTACCCAACTCCACAGCAGATGGCTTGGGTTAGAGAATGTATTCAAGGCTGTGAAGTGTTTCTCCTGCCTGTGCACTAGAACATGATTACTTGGGCTGGTTGGCAATTTACCAAATTGATATTAATTTGGCAAAAAAAGAAAGAAAGAAAGAAAGAAAGAAAGAAAGAAAGAAAGAAAGAAAGAAAGAAAGAAAGAAGAATCCATCTTGATAATTGCTCAGGAGATAGATAGATATAATGGCCACCTGTTTTTACTCACTAAGAAGATTCTTCTAATGTTTTTTGACAATTCCTGCACATAAATCAAGTTATGGTGGTTATAAATTTCTTTCAATACTCCACACAGTCTTTGCCAAGACATGCCTGGCATTCATTTCTCTGCTAGTATATCTGCTTATTTATTCAATAACACAAAACTTTTGTAAATAATCAAAACAACAGTGATTGATATGGTCCAATAAATCCAAGTGATGTCATCTCATTTGTGAAGCTTGAACAGATTTCTCCTATGAATGACAAATTTAGCCACGATGTAGTGTCTTTAGTACATCTTTTGTTCCATTTGACCCAGAAAACAATGCCCTTAAAATTGGACAATGTCCTTAACAATTTGATGCAGCTAACAGTGTCCTCTTTAGCAGCATTGTGGTCTAGGCATGAAAATGCTCACCTCTCTCTTGGAAGGTTGAGAGTTCAATCCTAGGAGCAGCAGATGTTTCTTTATCAAGGCATAAAGAGAAAATATCTGCTGCAAACTCTGCATAGGCATCAGGAAGGGCATCTGGCCAGTAAAAAGCTCAGCACCATTCAGTCAATCTGACTCCAAATAAGGAATTAAAAGAGTCATAAAAAGAAAAAAAAATGCCCTCTTTAATATTGGTTTCTATCATTATCATCTGGGGATACATTCATGGAACCAGGGAAATATGGTCACTATCTAAGCATGACTCAACTATCATATTCATAAAGTTGAGGGCAAATTGTAAGACACCAATTAACAACACATAACATACCCTATTGAAAGTAGAATTCTACTTGTTTATTTCACTTCAATGAACCATTACATGCATACAGAGGAAAGCAAATAACCAGCTATTTCAAGTAAAATCCTGCTAGATTACAATTATTATCTTTTTAGTTCTGGGATTGAAAAGTTCTTCCTTCACTGAGAAGTTCTTCCTTCATAGAAGGACACATGGTCAGGTCATTTGCAGAACTATCTCTGATTATTTTCCCCTGTACACAAGATCTGACCAAATGGAGATGTTCTTGATAGCTTCTATTAAACAATGCCATCTAATGTGCCCAGGAAACATGCCTTTTCTACTGTAATGCCTACCCTAATAAAAGAGACTATTTCCATCCCCTAGCCTCTGGGATGAGGATGGTTCTGCCCTTGATGGCTTTTTGTAAGATATAGAAATAGATAGTAAGATATAGAAATAGAAATGCTATATATAGTATTTGCCCTCATGATGGGCTATGACACCTGTTGATCCTTCTTTAGGGGCTATTGAATTGACTGAGATTTGTCTAAGATGTGTTATAGTTTTTAATTCTTATTGATTTGAAGGTATTTATTCACAATATTATTTATTTGTTTGTTTCTTTATCACATTTTGAAACTATACATCTTGCTTACAGAGGGACTCTGGGTGTTGCACAGATAAAACATGAAAATGTAAGAACAGTATGCAAAATAGATAGTTTATTACATAATATATAATATAAATAGTACATTAAACAGAGGCAAGGATGATTAAAATTCAATGTTAAACATTAATTAAAAGGCGAGGAAGGACTTTTAGGTCACTAATCAGGTCCACTCTGTGTCCTCTTCTGTGCACCCCAAACAAGGTTGCAGACCATGTTTTCATAATCAATTACAACCCAATGAGACCTGCACAAAGTTGCATCTGTGTGAGTGGAACACTATATTAAACCAAACAAATACAGAATGCAACGTAATAAAGTTACAAAGGGATCTTGGAGGTCTTCTAGTCCAAACCCCTGCTCAAGAAAGGGACCCTATACCATTCTGGACAAACAGCGGTCCAGTTTCTTCTTGAAAACCTCCAGTGATGAAGCACCACAACTTCCGGAGATAAACTGTTCTATTGATTAATTGTTCTCACTGACCAAAAAAAATAAATCTTAATTTTAGGTTGATTCTCTCTTTGATATGTTTCCATCTGTTATTTCCTGTCCTGTCCTCAGATGCTTTAGAGCGGGGTTCTCCAACCCTTGGGCCATGGCCCACTACCAGGCTGTGGCCTGTTCACAATCAGGACATGGGCTGGCGCATGCATGTGAGTGCATAGCTCGACTCAAGTGAGTGGCAGGCAGGTGAACATACACATGTGCACACAGCTCAACTTGCAGTCCAGCTGCATGCACATGCACACTGGTCCACCACTCATGTGAGTTGAGCTATGCACCTGCACTTGCGCACTGACCCACCACTCACATCGCCCAGTTCCTGTCTCCCCCTTCTAGCTGGGCTTCCAAAGCACAAAGATTGGGGACCACTGTTTTAGAGAATAAGTCAACCCTCTATTCTCTCCCCTAAAATGCTATCCTGACATCCCTAATCCTTCTCTTTATCAGACAAGACTTACTCAATTCCTGCAACCATTCATTGTTTGCTTCAGTCTCCAGTCCCCTAATCACCTTTGATGCTCTTCTCTGCATTCTTTCTAAAGGTCCCAACCACCATTTTTATATCCTGGTGACCAATATTCCAAGTGCATTCTTACCTGCAATACTAACACTTCACATTACCTCGATACTGTTCTTCTGTTAATGCAGCCTACGACTTCAGCAACAGTCCTATGAATGAATGGATGAATAAAAATATATGAATGAAATGTTGGAATGGAAAAAAATGAATAAAAATGAACTGACTAAAATGCATGGAATCATGCCTATCTTCTCAAGCATTAAAATCCCTTTTGATTATTATCAAAGTTGTAGGCTTAATTCCAAAGGATTGTTCTACACTCTTCCAATAAGTATAATATGAAGGTGAATTCTGGAATGAATTCCTTTGCTGTTCTATAGTACTAAACCTGATTGTCTCCTTCCGTGGTTAATAAAAAATAAGAATTGCCTGTTTCTATACTGTCATGCCAAAGGAAGAAAGCAGTGGTGGGTTGCCCCCGTTTCGGACTAGTTCTATAGAAACGGTAGTAAAACCGGCGTGAGGCTCCACCTAACGACCCCAATGTCATCAGGAAGCTTCTGTGCGCAGCCCTGTTGTGAACCAGTAGTAAAAGTAAGTAGAACCTACTCCTGGAAGAAAGCATATTACTCCCTCTTCCTATTCTCTCCCCATACCACAATCCTGTGAGGATTGGGGTAAGTGATAGGGACTGGCCCAAAACTACCCTACTGATATCCTAAAACATCACCTTAAAATACCTGAAAATCTTGGAGCGTGTTGTGGCATTGCATTTCCTACTGGGACTCTCACCTCTAAAAAATGTATTAAGCTCCCACAATGGCAATCAAGTTTGCTTGGCTTGCGTATGGTAAGATGTGGTTTCTTCATGTATACTTGTTGAATAAACCACAGTGGGTAGATTTTATCTACAAGTTATATCAAAATAAAACAAATTACATTCTTTTAAACCCATTTAAATTAGCAGACAGTGCTGATGGTTCTTGATTTTGAGGTCAGCAAATTAAAGTGAGAAAAGAGGAGCCTGGATAGCTCAGCAGACTAATGCATTGTAATTTAATTCCAGCTGTCTGCAATTAGTAAGTTCGAATCTTGCCAGGCTCAAGGTTGACTCAGCCTTCCATCCTTTCTAAGGTAGGTAAAATGAGGACCCAGTTTGTGGGGGCAATAAGCTGACTTTGTAAAAATATACAAAAGTATGAAGGCTATTGCTTAACGCATTGTAAGCCGCCCTGAGTCTCCGGAGAAGGACAGCATATAAATCAAATTAAAAAAAAAAAAAGAGGAAGTTCAGATAAGCAAACCCTCAAAACTCTTGGTTGAAAGAAAAACGTCATATTGCAATTCTCTTGACTATAATTTGCAAACATCTGAGAACAAATCTGAGAGAACTGTTCCAGGAAGGACCTGTAAATATTTCGCAACAATTATGCAATACAAGAAAGAAAGAAAAATAATGTTCATTAGTATTCAGCCTTCCTAATACATTCTGTCCTGTTTCTTTTCATATACAATATTTTTCTCTCATGTATTGATGTCTGGCAGTAATGTTTTAAGAGAATGAAATTCTCTCCACAGCATTTTCCATGTACAAGTAGAACTGCCAAGCTGCTACTTGGGTCATTTCACAAAACTGTGTTAAAAGATTGTCTTCTGAGCTTGTCGGAAATAAATCTGAATTAGAATCATAGGGCTGGAAGGAACCTCAGAGGTCTTCTAATCCAACCTTCTGCTCAAGGCAGGAGCCTTATGTCATCCCAGTCAAATGGTTGTCAAAATCAGCGGTCACCAACTGGTGATTTATGGGCCATTGGTGGTCCGTGAGAAAATTTTGGTGGTCCTCAGAAAAATTATTTGTATTTTTTATATTGCACGAAATCAGGGGTCCTCAAACTATGGCCCCTGGGCCAGATATGTGCAGTGAACATTTGTGTTACTGCAGAGAGTATCCCCCGTCAGGGTCTTTTTGTGTGGGTCAGAGAGGGGCAGAAATTCCGACTTGCTTCAGCCTCCTGGTGCAGGGCTTTGGGCGAAGGCTGGAGGGAAGTGCCACTGGTGGTGAAGAGCTGGAGGATCTCGTTCCAGTGGGACTGCATCATGGTCTGGAAGTGGCTGACCATCTCAGCCTGCTGAGCCTCCAGGTGCCGGTACCTGGCCTTGCACTCCCGCAGGTCTTCCCTCTGCTTGGAAAGCCTATGCTCCTAGTCCTCAGTGAGGTGCTTCTACTGAGCCTCCTTCTCAGCCAGATCCAATTTGAACTGAGCCAGCTGTTTTGCTGACTCTTTTTCATGGTGGCTGCTTAACTCCAACAACTGCTTCCTGTTTGGGGCCCTAAGGAGCCCAGGTGGGCAGGTTATGAGTGGCTAGGAGGGGAGAGGCGAGTAGAGGCCGACAAGGTGCCCCTTGATGTGAGTGACATTGAGTTGGCCATGCCCATCCAGTCACCTGGCCACCTAGCCACGCCCACCCAGCCAGTCATTAGGCAGATCATATTAGTAGTCCGCGGGATTTAAAATTATGAATTTAGTGGTCCCTGAGGTCCGAAAGGTTGGTGATCCCTGGTCCAAACTATTCCATTGATTAACTTTCCTTTACAAGTCTTCTTGCCACTTTACATGGGTTGAGAATTCCTTGGCCAGATGAAACTCAGGAAGCAGGTAGGTACACCTGGATATGTTGGGAGCATTCATGACAGCCATCATTCTATGGAGAAAAAATGTAAAGCAGAGGAGTTAGAAGTGAATGAACTCTTTGTCTCTCTCCATATTTATTTATTTATTTATTTTTCAATTTATATACCGCCCTTCTCCCTGAGGACTCAGGGCGGTGCACAGCCAGAATTAAAAACATGAAATACAAATATTAAAAACAATTAAAATCTATATAAATTTGGCCCAAAATTTAAAAAACCACAAACCAATTAAACATTTAACAATTTTAAAAAATTTTCTTCCTAAGCCAGCCCGGCTTGCTGGAAAAAGTGGGTTTTAAGGGCACGGCGGAAGGCACTGAGGTCTTGGATTCTCCTTATCTCTGGGGGCAGCTGATTCCAGAGGGTAGGTGCCCCCACAGAGAAGGCTCTCCCCCTGGGGGTCACCAGCCTACATTGTTTGGCTGATGGCACCCTGAGGAGGCCCTCTCTGTGGGAGTGCACGGGTCGCTGGGAGGTTGTCGGTAGCAGCAGGCGGTCTCGAAGATAGCTAGGCCCTATGCCATGGAGCGCTTTAAAGGTGATAACCAACACCTTGAAGCGCACCCGGAAGACCACATTAACTCACAGAGGCTGCATTCATTCAATGTAGATGTTGAACTTGGTTATTAAATTAATTTATTTTTTGATTTGCACAATACAGTGGAAAAAACAAACACAAAGAAATGTGAAGATACTAAAACATAACAAAATAATAGGGAAGTTTTACACTAACCAAGCTTAACAATTTGGAGAATGCAGCTACTAACTCTTAATTGAACTGGTTACGTCTGTTGCATAAACAAAGCCTTGGTCATTCATTACCACTTTACTACTTTACTTGATCACAGGCTCTGTTTTATTATTGTTATAACATGGATTTGCACAATTTAGGAAAAGTGACTAATTGAAAAAGAGGAAGAAAGTGGTAGCTATGAACAGAATAAGAGCGAAGCAATTAAGTATGTCACTGTTTAAGATTAATTCTAACATAGGTTTTTATTATCGTATGCTTAGAATATTTAGTTTCTTTGAGGCAGCTTCAATCGGTGCTGTCTTTTTATCTGATCCAAGGAAGAGAGTAAAAATTATCATCCAGACAAAGCCATGTTCATTTCTCCTCTTTCCACATAGAAAGGGGAAGAAATACATTTGGGTAAGCAACACTTCACCCAAATCCCATGTTTTCAGAACATGCTGTATGCATTTGACTGGTTTGTTTAAAAAAAAGTGGTTTGTGTGAAATGCTGTCAACATGTCATTTTTCCTTTTATAAATTCCACTGAAAGCTGTAACTACGATATAGCATCTACTTGCAATGCTGTTTCTCCCAATAATTGCAACTAGAGTTGTAGATTGCAGTGCAGAACAGTTGTATCCTGTTGAATGGCTAGAAAAGAACAGATCTCTTGACCTCAGAATCTCAGAAAGAGGTGAATCAGGAAGTTGGAACATTTACTGTATATAGTCACTTTGTTCATAGGTTTCCTGTAAAATTTACTATACGTCAACAGAAGCAGGATGAAACAAGAAATTATACCAGCTCAGGCCAAAGCTATACAGAGTCCCAGCATTACAAATTGCAAAATTTGCTATTTGAGTTTTAACTGCAGCCAAGCCTTAAGGAAAGCAGCTTCACAGGAGGAAGATCATAACACAACAGGGTAACATTAATGCTGGGAATGTACATATGTCACACGTGCAAGCGGGCTTGATCTATTTTGAGATCTCTAGAAACTGTTCTGCTGCTCTGGATTCTTCCAGTCTCTGGTATATGTGAGCCAAATAAAATTTACCAAGTGTATAACTTACTAGATTCTGCTTATACAGAGATATATCATGATTGTGTGGCATGTCAGCTATGGTTTATAGCCTAGGATGAATGTGCAAGCTAATATTAATTGTTGGTTCTTTCAGTCTGATGAAACTTCTTTCTAGTGGCCACTGGTGGATTTTATGTCTCCAGCTTGTCCGTTCCAGTCTTAGAAAGAATTGTTCATAGGTGAAGGGTGACAGCAGCAGGCAGATAAAACACTGAGTGCAAAATGAACCCAATGGCTGGCATTTGACATGAGGCTAACTAGGATGGAAACTTGAGTCATGAATGTAAGCTCATTTACTCTTAAAAATAAATCTTGGTTAGCATATTGTACAGATGCTGTGACAAGTCTGCTAATATTAGTTATCATGAAAATTAGTCCTAGTACCCAAGAAGGTATTAGGTATAAAAACTCAGTAAGAAGTACAGTCTGTATCAAAAGATTACTACAAGGACAATAGAAAAGAACAATTAATCAGTGGAACAACTTGCTTCCAGAAGTTGTTAAGCTGTAAATGCTCATGTGCTTGTTAAGCAGAAGGAAATTTTAGGTGTGGTTTTTGTTTTATTGTTTACTTGTAGCAATATCCTCTTCCCTTTCACATTCTTGACAGTCAGTAATGATGATGCAAAATGGATTTTTCTTTATCCTCTTCCTTTTTCAGAGACTTAATAATCAGCTTGGACACATTGTGCAACAACATAGCTTTCTAGAGTGATGTATAATGTTGGAGAAAGGAGAAGGAAAGAGAAGAGGATGACCAGCATCAAGATGGATGGATTTAATTCAGTGATGATCAATACATCATTGGAAGACCTAAATGACCAGTAACATTTTATCCTTGAAAAAATTGTATCTAAGTCCCTAAGAATCGACTAGACGGCATTTAGTAAGCCTGTCAATATGGCTCTCCTTCTTCCCTTTAATTTAAAGAAAACTATATTCGTATATGTCTCTTGGTTCAACATTAACTGAACTGCAATAGCGCATTGTAGGAATAAACAGATTTCAATGAAAGAAATAGTTTGGTGTGTCCCATATTTTTCTTGTTGACAGATGTAAATAATTACTAAACCAAAGCACACACTATTTGCAGCTAGATAAGCTGACCAGAGGCCATGTCAGACTTTATCAGGAGATTTATATAACTTAAGAAGGCTGTAAAGCACTGTGAAGCGGTATCTAAGTGCTATTGCTATTACTATTAATTTATTCATCTTGCTATGTCAAATCCTGCATTCTACCTTCATTTTCTTTCCTTGAATATTGTTTATATTATCTGTGGGACATACACATAATAACGTAACATAACACAACATAACACAATAATATAATGAAATAATTTTTTAATTTTTTTAAAAAAATATTTTATTCTGAATGCTACACATATCCTAAAGAGAATTCCCACATTTCAGAGAAATGGTAATTTGGCATCACTTTCTCTCAGGTGTTACACTTACTGTAACTTTCTCCCTTTTCTAAGAAAGAGGTAGATAACACTATGTTCAACTTCAGACACTTTATTTAGTCTCAATTAGATCTATCCTATCTGATTTTTTAATTAAAAAAATATTGTGGTGTAGAAGCATAGGAAGTTGAAGACCCAAAGAAAACTAGCAGCAACTAGCATCGTATTTGTTTGCAGTAGTTCTCACTGGGATGGTTAAGGAAGATACCTTCTGGTAATGGATTTTATGGCTAATTATGCCCATTATGGTCCTAATTAGTACATAGGAAAATCCCTCGTTTTATGAGTATGCCCTCCTTAGAGCACAGGTGTCAAACTCGTGGCGTCATGTTGCTGTTACGTGACGTATTGTGACATTTTTTCCCTTCATGGAGCTGGGATAGGCATGGCCTGCATGTGACGCATCCAGCCCAAGGGCTGCCAGTTTGACACCCTTGCCCTAGAGCAGCGGTCCCCCAACTTTTTGGACACCAGGAACCACTTCCATGGAGAGAAGTTTTTTCACAGACAGGAGGGAGCGTGGTTTCATGTGCTGCCTGCATCCCACGGATGGGGCTTTCCTTGTTTGCATGGCCTGGTTGCTGACATGCCACGGCCCTGTGCCAGTCCTGGAAACAGCAAAGGATCAGCCCGCAGTGCCTCTGCTAGGGAAAACGGAGCTCAGGAACCCATTTTCGCTGGCAGAGCATTCGGGCCACCACAGGCACTGACACTAGTGACGTCAAGGTAGCCCCACTGGGGGTTGGGGATCCCTGTTCTGGAGACTCAAAATTCAAAAACAGGATCTCCACCCAAAATGTTTTTTTCCCCTTTATTCTGCCAGTGGCTAACTGAGGGAAAGAAGGATTCCACCCTGTTTTTGTCTTGTCTTGGAAGAGAAGCTGGGGGAGGGGGAAAGGAGATGAATGATCAGGTGATTATTAAGATTCCTTCACGTCTTCAGTCTTTTAAGATCTTTCTTTGCTGCTGACAAATGAACAGAAACCCACCAAACAGGCAGAGACGTGATCACTACCTAGAGCAAGGGTGTCAAACTCAATTTCATTGAGAGCCACATCAGGGTTGTGTTTGACCTTGGGGGGCCAGAGTGGGCGTGGCTAGCTTGACATCACTAGTGTCGACGCCTGTGGTGGCCCAAGTGCTCTGCCAGCAAAAATAGGCTCCAGAGCTCCGTTTTCCCTGGCAGAGGTACTGAGGGCCAGTCCTTTGCTGTTTTCAAGGTGGCCCTGTGGGCCAGATCTAAGCACCCCACAGGCTCCTGGGCCTTGAGTTTGACACCTCTGACCTAAAGCATATAAAGTGGTATCTCCCAATTGTCTGTCCATCAATGCTTTAGCAATGCTAAAAGAGCCTTGGTAGTACAGTGGTTTAAAGCACCCTGTTATTAACACAGCTGCCTGCAATTACTGCAGGTTCGAATCTTACCAGGCTCAAGGTTGACTCAGCCTTCCATCCTTTCTAAGGTAGGTTAAATGAGGACCCAGTTTGTGGGGGCAATAAGCTGACTTTGTATAAATATACAAAAGTATGAAGGCTATTGCTTAACGCATTGTAAGCCGCCCTGAGTCTCCGGAGAAGGGCGGCATATAAATCAAATTTAAAAAAAAATGCAGCATGAAAAACTAAACTCTGTCCCATCATTTGGACAATACAGAATACAATTGTTATCTTGGCTTCAGTTTGGGTGTTTTGTAATTGCAGGCTCTGTAATTTAGAAATGAAAGCTTAACACATAGGAATCTTTAAACCGTATAAAACATGGATTCAAATCAACCTCAATTTAACAGTTGTCTGATGTGCTGGGATTTCATCTCTTAGAATACATATAAACAGATAACTTCGTACACAGAACTCTTTCTTTATTGCCAGAGCAATACCTTACAAATTAGATTTTTGTAGTCCTTTTGCAAATGAAAGAAAATGAACATTGTTTTACTTTCAAGAAAGCTAACATAACCAGATAGCAAATCCAGGTAATCCTCGAGTTACAATCACAACTGAGCCCAAAAATTCTGTTGCTAAGTGAAACATTTGTAAAGTGAATTTTGCCCCATTTTACAACCTTTCTTGCTATAGTTATTAAGTGAACCATTGCAGTTGTTAAGTTAATAACATGGTTGTTAAGTGAATCTGACTTCCCCATTGACTTTGCTTGTCAGGTCGTAAAAGATGAACACATGATCTTGGTACACTGCAATTGTCATAAATAAGAATCAGCTGCCAAACATCTGAATTTTGATCACATGACCATGGGGATGCTTTCATGGTGTGAAAAACGGTCATAAATCGCCTTTTTCAGTGTCATTATTACTTTGAACAGTTACTAAATGAACTTTTATAAGCTAAGAATTACCTGTAGATATTTCTGTATCTGTTTGGTGTCCTTTATTCTTGCAGTTCAGATTTAGGGTCCTATTGTCTCCATATATATTTGTTTCAAAATTAATATTGGTTTTATTATTTTAAAAGGCTCTTAAAACAATATATATATAAATAATATATAACAATATTAAAAATACAAATTTTAAAAGAAAAAGATAAAACAAGGAAAATAAAGAAAATAATTGAAAAAAGTTAAAAGAAAGAAATAGGGAAAGGAACGAAAAGTTATATAAAGGAGCATATATATCAAATATAATTATATATATAAATATAAAAATTATATTTTACCCCCTTCTCTCTAAGGTTATAGGCCATAATTTCCTTCTTTCCTTGGGTTCTCTTTTCGAACCATCTAAATCACAAGTTCATTTTTGTCTGGTTTCACCAAAAAAGTTCATAAAGTGCTTCTAGTAAGCTCTACTTTTTTTTTTTTTTTTTTACTATAAACAGAAGGTCTCCCTTGGAAATTTCCACTCCCCAACAGGGAAGTTGAAAATATATTCCAAAAGAATTAGCAGTAGGCAAATTATTTCCCTACTTTCCCTGAGATGAGATAAGACTGGGGCAGAGTCTAGCTCGGCGCCGGAAATTCCCAACATTAGAAAGAAAGCTTGTCAACAACCGTCACACTTTCTTTCTCAATAAAGTTAGAAGGCAACCGCCCACAAAGTAGAAGAACCCTCGTTTTCTGGAGTTAAAATACTGCACAGCTCGTAGGGATTCCCTCGTCTCTTCTCCTCTCAGGATCGTCTTCAGTCTTCAAACCTGTTTCTAAAGGAAAGTCTTCTCTGCTATACAACCTCAGATGGCTGTTTCTGCCTAAAGATGCAGGGCTAACACGTGATCCTACGTCGTGTATTTATTCCGAAGAAAGACATCCCCCTCCTGGTGCTCTACAGGGTGTTTGGTCTCCAAGGATTTGACCCAAGGAAATTCATCTAGGGCTCTCCTCTTCCCCCTGCTGCGCCTTTTCTAGTAAAGAAAGGATCTGAAAGACGTACAAGGATCGCGGAGCGAGGTAAATAAATTGAACAGAAGTGGATGCTGGAGGGCGGCTGTCCAATGATGGGGAACAGAAACAAGGCGAAAATGGGGAGTGGGGGATGGGTGGGAGCGCACAACTGATTAGGGGAAAAAAAAAACTTTAGCTTGGTCAGGTTAAGTATTCTCGTGGTAGAGTCGGGCATTTACTCGATGGATGTTCCCAACCTGGTTGTTTTCCAGCTAAGATAGTTGATTTTTTCTTCGCCTGGGAACTTAGAACGGAAAGATCCGAAGAAACGAAAGCTACTCTCAAAGTGGTTTCGGTTTCGTTGTTTTCGCGTTCCCTCTTTCTCCCGTTTTGTCAGTTCGATCTTGAAATAATAATGATAAAACTGATTCTTTGCGGTACTTTTCCTACGGTTTTTATTATTATTATTATTATTTGCGTAGACCAAACGTCAAGCATACGATTGAGACGGAGGAGAGCTGTGTCTTGGGTTTGCCAGGGCAATATGGGATACTCAGCTGCGTGCCTCAACCTCATCCCCATCCTGCATTTAATCAAGGGTAGTAGCCATAGCGTTTTGGCCAACAGCGCCCTCTGGAACTGCCTTGGGTCCACTCCCAAACAGCTAATGTAGGTTGCCTCACGCTGAAGGAAGTGAAGAAAGAGACACCATGGTCACCTAAAAGGGCTCACCACAGGTCCTTTTAGGTCCACCACAGGTCCAACTCCATAGAAGTTTTAGCTTCTATGCTTATCTATATTTGGGGCAGGCACCTAAGTGCTGGAATAACTTGCCTCCAGAAGTTGTAAATGCTCCAACACTGGGAAGAAGAGATTGGATAACCATTTGTCTGAAATGGTATAGGGTTTCCTGTCTAAGGATAGGAGTCTGGATAGTTCAGCAGACAGAGCTCTGTAATTTAAGACCAGCTGCCTGCAATTAAAGTAAGATCGAATCCCACCAGGCTCAAGGTTGACTCAGCCTTCCATCCTTTCTGAGGTAGGTAAATTGAGGACCCAGTTTGTGGGGGCAATAAGCTGACTTTGTATAAATATATAAAAGGATGAAGGCTATTGCTTAATGCATTGTAAGCCGCCCTGAGTCTCCGGAGAAGGGCGGCATATAAATCAAATTAAAAAAAAAAAGCAGGGGGGGTTGGACTAGAAGACCTCCAAGGTCCCTTCCAACTCTGTTATTCTAAGTTATAATGCTTCTACCTCCCCCCCCCAAACCAAATAACAACTTGGACACTACCTGGAACTAGAATTTTCTCAGCCATGTTCCCATGGTATTGTCTTCATCTTGTTCCCCATCCAGGATGAAGTCTAGCTTTACTACAGTTAATGTAGTATGTTTCCACCTTAGTTCCCCAACTCCAGGGTCTCAAGTCACAGGGCATCTGTTAGCTTTGACATCCTTGTATACTGAGTGGCATCTGCCATATTCTTTTAAGATGTAGACAATTTCTAATGTAAAGTTCAGTGTTCATTCCAACTCTGAATGGTGCTGTCCTGATTATACAGATAAGCAGAGCTGTCCTTCTGACTCACTGTCCTCCTTTTCTTGTGCACCCCCAACTGGTGAGCAAGTTGTTTACAATTATGAGACTGCAGCAGGAAGGAAGTGGGTTTAGCCAAAGGGTTGACTTTTCTTTCAAGCTTCTTTCTTTGCAGTTCTTCCTGCACCCCATTCTCTTGTGAACCAAGTGGGATAACATTTTTAGGTTGTTTTAAAAAATACTAAAACAGATCAGAGTCATAAAAGGACTTCAGTAATAGGCAGCACTTTTTTCTTTAGTATTTCCCCCTTCCTTTTACTTCCATATATAGGCAATAAATGTTGACTTCCAAATTCTTTTGTGTTCCCCTTGGTACCATGTTGTCACTATTTTGTTCTTCAGCACTATTGAAGCCTTTAATAGGACATCATTTCATTGCAATCTTTTTTTCACTGCCATTTTTCCTTTATCTCATTTCATGTTTTATTGTTTCCAATTTTCCATAACCAGTTTAAGAGTAAAGCTGCACAGTCGAGCACTACTGCAGTTTTGAAATGCCCCCAACATGGTGCTCCTATGTCTAACTTTTTAGGAAAATAATTATAGAATAGTGGTTGACCAGGAAACCAGATGGTATGAAGGGCTTCTTGAGATAAATATGAATACAATAGAATCATAAATTGCATGCTTGACTTCTTTTTTAAAACCATTATTTCACTACAATGTGATTTTCCTTCCTTGTTCATAATAGAATTCTGAACTGATTCTGGTTGCCAGTTCCTCATGTAACATTACTCATCGGTTGTGAATCCTGCAAAGCAAATTACTTTGCTACTTTATAAAGGGAAATTCCTCAATGAAGTAGGAGGCACTCCTGTTCCAGCTTTCATTTCCTTTCATTTCATGTAACCTTTCACCTGACAATTTTTGCTGAGCACATTGTAAGCCGCCCTGAGTCTCCGGAGAAGGGCGGCATATAAATCAAATTAAAAAAAAAAAATTCATGTTACGTTTATAAGTCAGAAATTAAATCACTCGTCATAAAATGGCCTTTAGCTTTAGTTTGGATTGAACAAACAGAACAATAGGGAAATATATTTAAAATCTGTTTGGAATTAGTATATGCATTATTACGAAGTGCCCTCGGTCAACATATAAATACGTCTATGTACTAGTCATCAGTAAGATGCTGCAGCATTAGAAGAAGATGGTGAATTTTCTTTAGTAGAATATTGTTCATATTGCATAGTCTAAAGCGGGGCACAGATGACATTTCAGAAATTTCTTCGTAAATAAGTTGGAAGAGAAGTAAGGTCTTCTATGTTTTTTAGTTTCCCTTTTTTTTTTAAAGGAAAAAAAAAGACTTCTGTGGTCAGGTTTACTCATTTTAATTATATGGACAATCTTGGAATTTTTGGTGGTTTCCAAAAACTAAGTCCAACCTGACTTTCTATCTACTATGTCCTGAAGGATGGAGGTAGTGATGATGACGATAATATTGTTTATTATTACTTCATGAGCCAGGTTTTGCCCCTATATATTAGCCTTTCCTACCTGGTCAGGCAGGGAAGATATGCTGCAAACCCATTAGTTAATGAATTCTGACTGGCGGGTTCCAGAAAAAAAGTCGACTTGTGGGTCACGAAATAAAAATCTTTTCTGAAAGCCTTCTCAGATTCCAGAAGTGTAACCAAGCGTGGGCATAAGAATAATTATACAGAACTTCTTCACTCCATTATATTGACTTATCCCACCCATTCACTACTCAAGTAACAAAGAATCCATGCTAGCACATGACTTACTCTTTATCTTGGTTTTACCCATGTGTAAATATTTGCTCTCCTTTAGATTGACCCAGCTGTGCCATCAGTTGTTTTCTCTTACAAATTGAATTGCTGGAAAACATGATTAAAGGCAATTATCAATATAAATAAAAAGCTATCTCATTACCAAGAAATAACAGATGTTCTAGAACAGCTTCTAGAAATGTAACCAAACATGGGTATAAGAATGATTATACAGAACAGTTTTCATCACATTATGTCAGTCAATCCCACCCAGTCAGGCAGGGAAGGTTTGCAGGGTCCAATCGGGGTCGGTCACCAGAACCAGAGGTTTGTCTTCTGAGCTTTCAGATTTGTGCTGGAGCCCATCTTCAGGGAAGAAGTTCAGAAGCTCAGAAGACAAACCTCTGGTTCTGGTGACCGACCCCGATTGGATCCTGCAATATTATCCTGGGACACGTATATTTCCCTTCATTTGTGAGGGAACGTTTGCTGTGAATCAGCCAGTTAAAGAATTCTGACTGGCAGGGTCTATTAAGGAAGCCTTTTCTGCCATTCCTTCCCCCCTTTGGACCATTCTCTTCCCCACAAAGATGATCCAGATCCCCCACTCTCCTGACCTTTCAGAAATGTCAAAAGAACTGGCTTTGCTGTCTTGCTTGGGAGCTCATAGGGAAACTTGCTGCCATGGGCTGTTTAGTGTCCTGAAGGCCATCCCCAATCTTTCATTAAACTTTAGTGTTGAATTGTAATCATATTCACCTCTTTTACATTTTATATACACTTTTTATGTTTTTTAATATTTTATTTGTAGCCCAGAGTGCCTCTGTGAAGGAGATGGTCAATTTCTAAATATGATAACTAAAAATAGTCAAATAAAATCAGTAATTGTATACTCATTGGGATAAGGCAAACAACAATAATTTTAAATATATATATATATATATATATATATATATATATATATATATATATATATATATATATATATATATATATATATATGTATGTATGTATGTATGTGTATATGTATATGTATATATATATCATAAATAGCACTGAATTTACAGCTTTGCTATCCATCTAATAAAAGATGCATGCTAGCTTGTGACTTACACTTTATCTTGGTTTTCCCCATATGTAAATATTTGGTCTCGTTTAGATTTACACAGCTGTGCCCTCAGTTGTTTTCTCTTGAAAATTGAATTGCAGGAAAACTGATTAAATTAAAAAGCTATCTTGTTAAGCAGAAATAACAGAGATTGTGGAACAGCTTATAAAAGTGTAATCAAGAATGGGTGTAGGAATGATTTACTAAAAGTTCTACAGTTAAGCTTCTGTGGAAAATCATCTTCAAATGTAAATGATTGTGCAATTGAAAAGCATATAACTGCACTGATTGGATCTGGGCCAGATAGCTTTCCCTCTCAATTCCCAAGTTCCCTCCCACTTTCAGACTGCAACTCAGGGAAGACTCTGTTAGCTAATGTTGTTCTCAAGCAATCCTGCATTGGTTGGTAACCACAAAACTGAAAATGGAAACAGAGTGGTCCAGAATTTGCAACATAACCTTTTTGCTTGGTGGTATAATTGTGCTTTAAAGGTTACGCAGTCTGTGGAAAGATTAGGCAAGAGACATTTTTCTCAAGCACAAACATGGAGATGTTAAGCTTGTGTAAACATTTCCCTTTTAGCAATTGATTCACAGGCATGCTACTGAAAATATACTATAGCTTAGTTAAAAGGCTTTTCAATTTTATTTGTTTTTCAGAACCAAGTGTATATAACTATGGAAAATAAAGGTGAGTATTACTCTTTTTTTCTGTCAATTGATAATTTAGGATCAGTCGGTATAGAACAACTGAAATGTGAAAAGTACATCATAGGCATTTTCATAAAAGAAATGGTAAGGGTTAGGGTTAGATAGCTGAATATATAGCTAAGAATCAAGAGCTGAACTCTTTTGGCAGGCTGCAGGAAAAGTCTCAAGGAAGGTCCAGAGAATATACCTAACTCTGTCCTTCAGCAACTGTATATAAGCATTCTTTTATTAATTTTGTGTGGGAAACATACTTCACTAAATGTTGAGGAACTAATATATTAGTATACAAATGACGCTTGGAGATTTAATTCAAAATGCTGTAGAGCAGGGGTGTCAAACTCACATTGTTATGGTGGTGTCACATGATGTATTGACACCTTTTCCCCTTTGCTAAAACAGGCGTGGGCGTGGCCAGTGCATGATGCATCCAGCCCCATGGGCTGCGAGTTTGACAGCCCTCCTGTAGAGTTTTTCTACAGGAAATCTCTATATTTTATACTGGTAGTTTAGTTGGAACTATGTGAGTAAGTTTTTTTTCCTGTTAGAGTTTCTGTATCTACAGTAGCTGCCAAAGCTACTGTACATATTTAGTAAATAAAACATGTCCATTCCAGCATTAGAATGGCAAGTTTCAACTGATAATTACATTTATTTATTTATTTTATTTATTAAATTTATATACCGCCCTATTCCTAAGGGACTCAGGGCGGTGAACAGCGAACGATAAAAATACATGTAATACAAATGTTAATAATAAAAAACCAATTAAAATATACTAAACATTCTGGTCCTAGATAATTCAAGACATCCCAGTTTAAAATAAAATCAAAAAGCAATATAAAGGGAAAGTTAGGCCAGGCCGGCCTGCTGAAACAGGAATGTTTTGAGGGCACGGCGGAAAGTGCGCAGATCCGGAATCTTCTGTATCTCTGGGGGGAGCTCGTTCCAGATGGTGGGTGCCCCCACAGAAAAGGCTCTCCCCCTGGGGGCCGCCAGTCGACATTGTTTGGCTGACGGCACCCTGAGAAGCCCCTCTCTATGGGAGCGTACTGGGCGGTGAGAGGCTATTGGTGGCAGAAGGCGGTCTCGTAAGTACCCCGGTCCTAAGCCATGGAGTGCTCTAAAGGTGGTAACTAAGACCTTGAAGCGCACCCGGAAGACCACAGGGAGCCAGTGCAGCTCGCGCAGGAGGGGAGCCACATGGGAGCGCCATGCTGCTCCCATAACTACCCGCGCGGCCGCATTCTGGACCAGCTGGAGCCTCCGGGTGCTCTTCAAGGGGAGCCCCATGTAGAGAGCATTACAGTAGTCCAGGCGTGAAGTGACGAGGGCATGAGTGACCGTTTTTAACGAGTCCCGATCCAGAAAGGGACGCAACTGGCGAATCAGGCGAACCTGATAAAAAGACCTCCCGGCCACAGCTGTCAAGTGTTCTTCTAAAGACAGCCGTGAGTCCAAGAGGACGCCTAAGTTGCGAACCCTCTCCGTGGGGGGCAATGACTCATCCCCAATAGTCAGTGATGGCACCAATTGACTATATCGGGACGTCGGAAACCACAGCCACTCGGTCTTGGATGGGTTGAGCCTGAGTCTGTTCCTCCCCATCCAGATCCGTACAGCCACCAGGCACTGGGACATCACTTTAAGGGCATCATTGGGGTGGTCCGGGGTGGAGATGTATAGCTGAGTATCATCAGCATACTGATGATACTTCACCCCAAAACCACGGATGATCTCACCCAGCGGCTTCACATAAATGTTGAACAGAAGGGGTGAGAGAACCGACCCCTGTGGCACCCCACATATAAGGGGCCTCGGGGTCGACCTCTGCCCCCCTGTCAACACAGACTGCGACCGATCAGATAGAAAGGAGGAGAACCACCGCAACACGGTGCCTCCCACCCCTAACTCCTCCAACCGGTGCAGCATGATACCATGGTCGATGGTATCAAAAGCTGCTGAGAGGTCTAATAGGACCAGGATAGAGGAGCAACCCCTGTCCCGGGCCCTCCAGAGATCATAATCATAATCATCCTTGGTAAAAGACAAGCAAAGATATCAATGCAACACATGGAAAATATATATCTATAGCATGAACAAAGGAGTTCGGTTCATACAACATACTAAATTCATATCAGCAAAACACATATACTATATTCACATAAGATAATTCACCTAATGTAATACACTCTATAGCAAATTGACATGCTGGCTAAGTTCTTATAACACACTAAGGTAATTGCTGGAGTCCCACAACACACTGAAATAGCCAACTCCATTTCAGTCTAGATTAGTATGTTGTGAAAATTTATTATATCAGGTTAAATATATGGTCCTTCCCATTAAGCATTCTTTGTTAAACAGTGGCCCACTAAAATGTAGATTGGTATCTTTCTCAGTCCAATATTATTCATGTTTCAAAGTTGAATTTTTTTATTATTTCTGCAACTGCCCAAATAAGGTACCATTTCTTAAAAGTTAAAAAAGCAGATATATTTATTTGATTCATATATGTCTAAGTACATATAAATGAAAGAATGTTTCTAAATATTTGACCTGCCTTTCCTTTATTTTAGCAAATAATCCTGCACCCGTAGCAGTAGCTGGATACCCTGGACCACAGCCACAGTATGGATATCCTCAGTATGCTCAATATCCTCCTGGAATGGCTCCATATCCTGCTCCACAAGCTTTCCCTGGTAAATATTTTGTAGGAATATTTCCAGTTAAACTTCGAGTCCCTTTATTAGGGCTGTATGTCCATTATATGACTTCCACACCCTCAGGCACTTTGAAGCATCTCATTGGGATCATGTGCAAAGCATTGCACAACCTTTTCCGTTTTGAACCTATAATATATTTTCACTTTTTAAGCATACATAATTAGTAGTTCTCCATTGGCAAAAATTAGCTCCTAGTGTTTTCAAAACTTTTCTCACACTGAAGGAAAATCTCCTGGGCTAGATATTCTTGGGGTTACAATTCCTAGAAGCTAAAGGTTGGACTAAACTACACTTTGATATTTTATCTGAATCTGATCACTTTATCTAATAGAATAATTAAATTGTACACTGTTAAAAGCCATCATTAGCATTACTTTTTACTGTTTTTAAACAGTCTATCATTGTGTTTAATAATATGAAAGGGGAAGTTCCGTGATATCCATTCAAAAGGGCAAATGTCACCAAGATGTAAAATTGTTGCAAAATAAGCGTAAAATTCCTGGTGAGGAAAAGGAGAACTGAAGTAACATCATATCAAAACAGTTAAAGAAAGTTCATTCATTTCACTTACTTGTGGAGATTTCAGAAGTGATGATAAATACATTAACCAAGACAGGGAGGGGCGGAGAAAAATAAAAAAAAATTTTTTTTGCTTATTTAACTGTACTTATTACCTTATTATCAATCTTAAAGAGATCGTTGCTCGGGCAGTACATAATAATTAAAAGAAAAACAACAGTAATATCCTATTCCAAAGTTCAAGACAGGTGTGTTCCATCAGTTACCTGGGGCTAAAGGCATGCAGAAATTTAAAAAATCAAGTTGAGGTGAAAGGGAACAATCAAGGTCCTGAGCATTTTTAGTGAATGGAGACCATGCTTTCTGCATTGAGCTAAGTTTATTGTAACTGCACAGGGGGGAATACAAGATTCTGCCCAAAATAATAATATATGAGTTAATGGAAAGTGATCAGCTTACCTTTGCTGAGAATGCTGTAGCACAATAAGATAAATAAGTGAGTAAAGGAATGAGTGGATGATGTAATTATGAAAGAAAATGAGAGAAGTTACTATCGTTTCTGTTAAATAGATGTTAGTTCTATCTCCTTTTGGTCACATTCTGCAATTTTTGCAATAAAGAGCTTATGGTCCATCCATTGAGAATGCTGGTTTTCCAGTGCAGGAGAATTTCTGAACATTTTTGTTCTGCATGTGGAGGGAACTGTGGAACTTAGGTGAAATCCTTTGATGGGATGCAGGACCAAAACTGAAGTCTTCAGGACAGAGCTGTAACCTTCAACAATTGAGCTCTGTGCACAAAGGAGAGTTGAGCTTTTTTGGCAGGCTGCAGGAACAGACCTAAAATTCCACAGATTTCAAGCCTGTTCTGCAGCTCACCAAAGGATTAGTCAAACTCCTTTGGCAAGCTTCAGCAATGGAACTGAAAAATGTCACTATTTGAGCTCTATGCATGGACGATATAAGAAATCTTTTGACAGGCAGTTCCTTCAATCAACCCCCAGAAACAGGCAGCCAAAATCCAAGCAGGATGTTCAGTCCCAGAATGGAGAAGCAGTGGAACAAGGCAAGGAGTGTGGGATGCCATGGGCTGGTGGAGGAGGCCTGGCATAGGCACAGGGTTGAGTGTGTCTCAACTCAGCAGCTGTAAACCCTGCCTAGATTTCAGCAGAGAGGAAGGGAAGCCCAGTAAAGGAACTGCCCAGGTAGGCCTGGTATAGACTGTGAGCGTTTTTTCACTTTGGCTCTAAAAATCCTGCTTGCAGGGAGGATTTCAGGGCCAGAGTGAAGAAGCAACAGTAAGATATGAAGTGTGGAGTGACTCAGAAGTGTGGGTGATGACTCCGTAAGCTTGGAATATGCCGTCTATGATTGTCTCTCCATTCTGGCGCTGAAAATCTGCTTGGATTTTGGCAAGGATGATTTTCAGCTCTTGCATATAAATACAGTCATATAAGGCTGGCATCAGGAATCCCACGGTCTTCCCCACCTCGCCGAGGCACCCCACACTCCTTACTTGGTATTGCATTACTTAATTATCCATGAGAACATTCAACAGCAACAACCGGGAATTCTAGGATTGCATTCGTTGCATGAAGCAGTTGTGATGTTCTGCTTAATGACTGCTGTAGCAATAGCACTTAGACTTATATACTGCTCCACAGTGCTTTACAGCACTCTCTGAGAGGTTTACAGTGCCAGTATATTGTCTTCAACAATATGGGTCATCATTTTACTGACCATGGAAGGATGGAAGGCTGAGTCAACCTTCTGCTTTGCTCATTGACCAAGATTCCAGTCCATTTATGATCATAAATTGAGGTTTGGTATAGGGCTATAGAAAACAGAGTCATTTATGTAAAAGACTATGGTTTGTCTGTGTGTATACATGGAGGATCAATCAATTTCACAAATGGGTTTTTCTTATTTTACAGCCCATTAATTTTAACCCGTGTCATTTGACCTACATGAAGAAAACACATAATTGGAAAATAATTGTCAGAACAATTTTAGCAAATGATTGTAGCAAACTTTCACACTTCTGTAATTTGATCTAGTTGCTGATGGAAAAGGAGAAGACATGGATTCCCTTTTTCTGCTTTTGAGTGTGTTTGTTTTAAAGAATAGAAATTGAACTGACACGTCTCTGGAAGGCACTCTCCATTTCCATTCTGAATCTTTCTCCAATATGACCAAAAGCTATGCTGCATTTGGGAAGGGGAGGGGACTGAGAGGAGACTGAAAGCGTGGAAATCAAAGCTGTTTGTCTCCAAAACCTTCATACCCACCATCATTTTTGTAAGAATGTACAGGTAGTCCTCAATGTATGACCACAATTGAGCCCAAAATTTTTGTTCCTAAAGTGAGACATCAGGTAAGTGATTTTTGCCCCATTTTTTGACCATTCTTGCCACAATTGTTAAGTGAACCACTGCCGTTGTTAATTTAGTAACATGGTTGTTAAGTGAAACTGGCTTCCTAATTAACTTGCTTGTCAGAAAGTCACAAAAGTTGATCACATGGCCCCGGGACACTGCAACCTTCATAAATCTGAATCAGTTGCCAAGCATCTGAATATCGATCACGTAATAATGGGGATGCTGCAAAGATCCTAAGTGTGAGAAACAGTCACTTTTTTCAGTGCCGTTGTTGTAACTTTGGATGGTCAGTGAATGAACTGTTTTAAGTTGAGGACTACCTGTAATATCAGAAGTGCAGTTTCTGGATGATGTATCACAGTTTTTGTTGGAACATAGTCCTGTTCCTTGTTGATTTTTTTTTCCCCTTGTGCCTTTGAGGAAGTGACTACTTGGGCAAGTCCCTGCAGATTTTTTGGCAAGATTTTAGAAGTGGTTTGCCATTGCCTTCTTCCTAGGGCTGAGAGAGAGAGAGAGAGTGAGAGCTGGCCCAAAGTCACCATCTGTTTTTTACCTAAGGTGGGACTAAAACTCAGGGTCTCTCAGTGTCTATTCTGATGCCTTAACCAGTATTTAAAACTCACTCTTCCTGTTGATTAGCACAGGAAAAATCAGTCTCTGGATCTCAAATATTACGATTCGATGGACAATCCCTGGGTGGTCAAGTGACTGTCCTTCATGTGTTTGGCAAATGGAGCCATATTTATGGCTATTTGCAGTGTCCTGTAGTTATGTGATCATGTTTTACAGTGGTTTTGCTAAAAATCGGCATTTACTTCCAGTTTTTGGCAAAACCATGCCCATAGTGAATAACTGATTTGCTTAACAACTAAGGGTTTGCTTAACGACTGCCACCAATAAAGGTCATAAAATCAGACAGGCTATGTGACTAACCCACTTTTACAGCTGTCACAACTTATGACCATGATGGGCAGGTACCATTACAGTTGCAACTCAATGTGATGAAAAAAGTTTTTATTTAAAAATGATATAAGATAACGGTAAAAGTTCCCATCGCACATATGTGCTAGTCATTCCCAACTCTAGGGGGTGGTGCTCATCTCCGTTTCAAAGCCGAAGAGCCAGCGCTGTCCAAAGACGTCTCCGTGGTCATGTGGCTGGCATATCTAAATGCCAAAGGCGCATGGAACGCTGTTACCTTCCCACCAAAGGTGGTCCCTATTTTTCTACTTGCATTTTTTACATGCTTTCGAACTGCTAGGTTGGCAGAAGCTGGGACAGGTAAAAGGAGCTCAATCCATTATGCAGCACTAAGAATTTGAACAGCTGAACTGCCGACCTTTCAATCAACAAGCTCAGCATCTTAGCCACTGAGCCACCGTGTCCCTTCAAAACTGATATAGATAACATTTATTATATCCTGCCTTTATATAAATAACTTAAGGCAGTGCCTAATATTCCTACCCCCTATTTTCCCCACCACAACAAACCTCTGACATGCTTTAGCTGAGAGAAAGTTATTGGCCCAAAGTTACTTTGCTGGCTTTCTTAGGTCTTTCGTGCCTAAGAATACAATCTCCTGGTTTGCAGGCCACCACTACTAGAAGAATAAATGAGAATAATAATAAAATACTGCGTGAACTTTCTTAGGAACAGAACTTCGGAATGAGGGTGCATGGCCACCACAGAAAAATTCTTCCTTTAACCTGCCGTCATGCTAATCTTTAAAAGCAGGAGCAATCAAAAGTCAAAACCCACACTTTGATTTATGCCGGAAAGAAATTAAAAACCAGTGAAAGTCTTCCAAAATCTGTCCACATACAGTATGGACAGTGTAGTCTTCCTTTCTCTAGGTATCGCTACAAAGGAAATACATATATCATATGTGATGCAGTGTTCATCCACTTTGTTCTTTCCTCCCTTTTAATCTAGAAGAAGACACTGTGTTAGTGTAATTTATCATTGTAATGTATCATACAGATACCCATCATGTGTCTCATTATAGAGTGAGGGAGAAGGAGAACTACATTGCATTTCAAATGCTACACATGCATATACTGTATGCTTTTTTTATTCCTTTGTGGTGGAAGAGAAAATTATGTATAATACGTCCTGAACATTGATAAACCTAATTGCTTAAACATAAAACAAAAAAAAATCTGCATGGACTGCTTATTTTTTTAATTACTTTTGTTTGTTTCATCTTTTTCTAAAAGGTGCTCCAGGACAGCCCCCATATGCATTTCCTACAGCTTATGGAGCTCCAACAACTTATGGCCAACCTGTTCCCCAAGCTGTTTGGATGCCCGAACCAGCTCCTCTTCCAAATTGCCCTCCTGGATTGGAATATTTAAGTCAGGTATCTTCTTCTCCTTCTATCTGATAAAGTATAATTTGAATTTCTTCAAAGTGTGTGAAAACAGTTATGCTTATCTTGGCACAGAGTTTTAAATATGGAAACCATAGGTCCTTTATTATAAAGGACAGTACTGTATTTTAGAAGGCTCTCGTTTATATTTATTTATTTTTCAAAACCTTTTATTTTGCCCTTTTTTTTTTTGGTCATTTAACTTTTACTCTTCAAAATGTTCACCACTTAATTCATGATTTTTCACAGTCGTGAAAAATATGGAAACTGACCTGTATGTTTAAGATAAGTTTACATATACCTTTTGATTTTAGCTATTTTTATGAAGATATGAATTTTGGTAAAAAAAAAATCTTTCAAGGAAGTATGGTCACTGAAAGTATAAGCCATTCATTCATTTAGCATGATGATGATGATGATTTATTAAATTTATATGCTGTCCAATACCTAAAAACTCTGGCAAGTCCATAAATGGTTAAAGATTAAAGAAAACAATACAACCCACAAAAGAACAAAGATGGCAGAGATAACAAACCTGAATGGGAACAGAAAAAAGGAAGAAAGGGAGGAGGTCTTCAATCATGCTCACCAAAATTTTGGGCAAAGATCCAGGTCTTCAGAGCCTTTCAAAACATTAGCAGAGTAGGGACATGTTTGACTCTAATATCCTCTACAAAGAAGCAGAAATTCCTTCTAGGGGATATTAGAATAATGCAGCCCATATCCAAGTTTTTAGGTATGAGTTTTTCCAGCTGTGCATAAAGATGCTTAAATTTGAACCTGAATAGTCTTCAGTGCAAAGCATGCACTCATTTACTAAATACCTAGCTAGCTATATTTAGAAAAACATGTGCCGAAGCCTGAGGAGTCAAAGGTAGAGCAGGAGTGTTTCTGCACTTCATGGGACTGCAGGTAAAACATGTCCCATTCATTTAGAAAGATGACAAACATTGATGTATAAGGTTTAGAAGAATGGCCATGAGAAGACAATGTAAAGAAAGGAAACCTTTATTTCATGGTGTAGATGCTGCCAGAAGATTGGAATGGTATAGAGAACTTCTATATAAAGTTGTCCTGGTTGTCTTTTTGTAGTTTGATTGGTGAAAGTTATTGCTTCTACTACCATCAATAATTTGAAACCAAACAAAACTAGTGTGCTTTAGATGTGTTGGACCTGCAATCTCTTGGCTTCCCAGTTGACAAATTCTTTGTACTGGTTGGATATTTTAGAGTGATGGTCCAGCTATCTGGAGGGCATGAGGGCTGACAGATGCTAAAATAAGATTCCTTTTTAATTCTGAAAATTTATCAAGAAGAAAATAACTTAGTTTTGTTTCCATTTAAGGCACTTCTCTTAAATGATGTGGTTGATAATTTACAGACAAGTTGCAGAATGAATTCATTGATTATAGCTCAGTTCTAATATTTTTTTTAACTCTATAACAGATTGATCAGATATTAATCCATCAGCAAATTGAACTTCTGGAAAGTAGGTATTTTATGCTATTTGGTATTCTAAAAAAAAAATCAGATGAATGTACTATTTCTTTTACTAGCCTTTATATGTGAAAACAGAATTCTATCTATATAGTTTTTCTACATATATTTTCTGTTTAGTAATGTAATAAAAATAGATACTTCAGCACAATATAATACTTTGATTTGGATTATACTATTTGTTATAAGTGTTACATTGTTGTGTTAGTTATTTATTTTGAGTACTTAATGGCAAAAAGTGTCTGATGATGACAGAAATACAATTTCTTGTATTGCAATGTTTTTCTGAAAGAGATATAGTTAAACTGACCACTAGGAGATAGAGCATGATGGGTTCTACAAAAAGTCCTCAACTTACAACCACAATTGGGAACAGAATCTCCATTGCTAAGGAAAGCCGTAGTTAAATAAGTCATACCTGATTTTACAACTTTTTTGTCACAGTTGTTAAGCGATTCGTGTAGTTTTTAAGTGAATCTGGTTTTTCCATTGACTCTGATTGTTTCAAGCCAGCTGGAAACGCTACAAATCATGATCACATGAACCATCATAATACATGCTGGTTGCCAGTTGCCCAAATTTTGATCATATGACCATGGGCATGCTATAATGGTTGTAAATGTGAAGACCAGTTGTAACTTCAGGCAGTCGCTAAGCAGATGGTTGTAAGTTAAGAACTACCCATGTTTGGGGTTTTTTTTCAAATGTATTTTAGCCAAATGGTATTCTATGGGCTCTATACTCACTACCAGGAATTGAATTCCTGGATATTTGCATTTTCAATGACTGCATATAGGGCAATAGCTTCAGAAGCTCTCCAAATTCTGATGTTTAGCCATGCAAAAGATGTATTAGAATTCTATATACCAAGCATGTCAAACTCATTGAGGGCCACATCAGGGTTGTGTTTAACCTTGGGGAGCCGGGGTGGCCATGGCTAGAGTGGGTGTGGCCAGCTCAAAGTCACTCGTGTCGGGGGCACTGTGGTGGCTTGAGCACTCTGCCATTGAAAACTAGCTCCTGAGCTCAGTTTTTGGCTGCAATGGCTTCCTGCAACCCTCTGCCAGTGAAAATGGAGCTCGGGAGGTCCGCCCGCAGCCCTCACAAGTTTCATTTTTGCTGGCAGAGGCACCACGGGCTGGTCCTTTGTTTTTTGGAGGGTGGCCCCACAGACCAGATGTAAGCAACTGGGCTGGATCAGGCCCCTGGGCCCTGAGTTTGACACCCCTGCTATATACAATTACTGTCTTCTTAATTTTTCAGAAAAATATATACATAGGTAGAACATTATGGCATGTCCCTATGTATGGGATTATATATAATCAAAGAGTTTCAATCCAGTCAAATTGGTGTTCGGTGTAAATGAAAAGATCACATCCATGGGAGAAAAACCAAGAATTTCCCATCTCCAAAAGATGAAATGAAAAAGGAAAAATTTTCATATCATTCATATATTACATTCTGTTTTACTTTTTTTGCTCCTGGAACATACTGTTGTAAACTAAAACAACCTTATTTCTATATTTCTGTCACTTGAGGTTTTAAAAAAAATAGGTGAAGTTCCCTTTGAAGAAAGAAAAAATTATTATTCCTCTACATTGCTGTAGATTGGAAATAGATTTTAGTTGCCTCAGCATTGACTTGGAGAAGGGAAGCTCTAATTGTGTTCTCTGACTCCAGGAAAAGCTGAGAATATTTGTTCCATTAGCTCCCTCTGGATCAAGCAACGGGAGTCAGAAATTGAGTTTTTAATTTGGCCTGCCAGACATACATGGCTGAGGGACGTGTGTGTATTCTGCCCCAAACATCCTCTAGGAAGCTTCCTTGTTCTTTCCATGAGCTGCTCTCTCCTTGACCTGCTGGCTGTTTCTTGAATGCTGGTGGAAACCTTTGTGCACATGGGGATCCTGTTTTATCAGATCTTACAATTATGCAAATAATCCTAACCAATTTTTAGTGAATGGAAATAAGAATGTTCTTCAAACCTTCCTTTTGAACATAGGAAAGCTAATGCAAAATTTTTACCTGGCCCACAAAGCACTCCTTGAACTAAATGTTATTTTTATTACAGGTAAATGGAATGAAATTATATATAGTCGATATTATTTCTTATGTATTTCATATATTTTATCACATCAAAAATTAGAAATTAAAAGTCCAATTATTTTTGGGAAATTGGAGAATGGAAGGTCCCCCAAGATTTTAGGAACACATGGAAATCTGTTACTTTAAATTGTGCATCTCTAGTGAAGGAATTGGAAAGTACTTGGGGACTTTGGATTAGGAGCTAAAACATCCTAGTATCATCCATAAAACCATATCAAATATGATTGCAGGGTATCTTTTTTTCTTCTTTTTGTTTGTCCTTCTCACTGCCCCATAGCCTTAAGTAGAACTTTGCAGATTATTTTCTTGATTTACGTTAGCATTCTTGGAAAGAGAAGTAGCTTAATAGTGAAATGTGTGAATTGACCAAACAGCTTTATGTACGTATGTTTCTTTGTTTCAGTTATTACTGGCTTTGAGACTGCCAACAAATATGAAATTAAAAATGCTATGGGGCAAAGGGTGTATTTTGCCGCTGAGGAAAACGACTGTTGCACTTTGAACTGCTGTGGACCATCACGACCATTTACGATGAAAATCATGGACAATATGGGCCGGGAAGTCATAAACCTCATGCGACCTCTGCGATGCTCCAGTTGCTGCTTTCCTTGCTGTTTACAGGAGGTGAGTCACTTGATGTTCTATGACTCTTTTGGCAAAGCCAATTTAAGATCCTCAAAATAAAGGATATTGATTTGGGAGACGGCCAATATATTCTTTCAGTTCTTACATTGGGTTTCTATTCACTTTTAAGCCACTTCCCTGTGTTTCTTAGCTTTACTTCAAAAGCCACCATTTCCTTCATGTTTCTTTATTCTTATTTATGTTGTCTCATTGCCTTTGACTTTTCAATTGACAAATTCCAAATACCTTGCTCTACCTGCTGGGCCCTTTTTCTATCAAAGAACTTCTTTCCAGCACCTTTTGATGCCATATGAAAGTTGCCCTCCCCTCTTTAATGGAGCAATCTTGGACTTCCATATTCCTCCACAGTGGTAATTTGGAGAAAGGAAAATTCAGGTGGAGGGACATCAGTATTAAGGTAGAGTCTTGTGCTGTCTCTAATATTTAAGTTTTTACCTAAGCAACAATTACATATTTTTGTACATTTGAGTCCAGTTTCATTGTGTTACCTTTTCCTCTCCATTGTGTTGCCCTTCAAGGCAAAGATATTTCTTTTTGTAATGTTGTGATGTAATGTTGTGATGTAAATCAACATGTGGGAAAAAGACAACAAATACAAAATTCATATTTTGTAACAAATTTAATTATTTGTACGTAGCATGAAAAATAAGTCATTTAATTAGTAGTAGATTGGTTAACCAAGACTTTTACAATGTATATATGCTTTCTCCTCTTAAATCAAGATTTGGGAAGAAAGATTGTTTATTTTCCCTTGTTTATTATTTATAAATAACTCAAGGCAATGAACATACCTAATGTTCCTTCTTCTTCCTATTTCCTCCACAATAACCTTTGGGAATTGGGCTGAGAGGGAGTGACTGGCCCAAAGTCATTCAGCCTCTTTCATGCCTAAGGCAGGACAATATGTCATGGTCTCCTAGTTCTAAGGTCAGCACCTTAACACTATACCAAACTGGTTCTACAAGCAATTGTAGCCAATACTACTTTGAGGTAGAAAAACTCAAAAGAAACCCAAGATTGGAAGGCACAACTTTACACTGTCTTATCCAATCTGCATGGCTGCAGACTTCAGACATTCCATATAAGACCTTAGTCTAACAGGCATGCCTTAAATACCATTGATGATGAAACTTAAATTGGTAGTCTATTACTGGATACTCCCCTCAGTGCTGTCATTTCTGCTTCTTACTTGAATATCCTGGATTATTAAAAATTCCTTTTGATTTTCATAAATCAGGTTGCTGGATTGGGTTGAGACCAGTATGTGACAAGAATTGATTGTCATTTGGTGTATTGAATTCAGGGTGAACAGAAAGAGAAATACAGAAGAATTTATGGCATGGTCAGTGGATGCAGCCCTATTTTTTATGCGTTTAAAAGTTTCATGCAGTCCAGCCTGTTCAGTGCTTTGAACTTGTCTGACTTCATGTGCCATGAAAAGCACATGAAGTCAGACTGTGTTAACAGTTGGTTGTTTTGTTTTCCAGGCTGAGAGACACACTTGGCCTTTGAATTAGATACTAGGTGTGTACTCTAAACCATGGGTAGATATAGGACAAAAACTAAATTTAAACATAGTATTAAATTGGATTCATTAAAAAGTAAGATAGTCCTTACATATTTAATTATTTTTTTGTATTGTCATATTTTAAAAACTTGGTAGCATCTTCTTTTTTATATATATAAAAGTTTTTTTTATTTTATATACAAACAATCATACAATACATAATCATTCAGTGTATCATCTGAGCACATCTTTTGTGTCTTCTTCCTACTCTTCCACTATTTATCACATCTTCATTTACTATAACATTTTCCCCCCATTTCTTACTTTTATATTAATACTTTATCTATCTTCTTTCTCTTCTTTTTTCTCCATTTCATTACAACATTACCCTATATATATATCTTGTCTAACCAATGATAAAATTGTCCCCAGACCTTAAAATATTCCAATTCCTCTCTTTCTTTAATTATCAAAGTCAATCTATTCATTTCTGCACAATCCAATATTTTCTTAATTACTTCTCCCTCTGTAGGAATTTTCTCTGCTTTCCATCTTTGCGCAAATACTATCCTCGCTGCAGTTATAACATCTATAATCAAATATATATTTTCTTTACTAAGTTTTTCTGGTAAGATACCCAATAGGAACAGTTCAGGTTTTAAATCCATATGTTGTTGTTGGTAGTATCTTCTGAAGGAATCTGAAGATTCCTGAAGGAGTCTACCTTCAAAACCATATGTCACTCTAGGATTTCAGGCAAGAATTATGAGCGAATTGATGAGCAAGTTGATTGAACAAGAATAAACTTTTTGTTTGTCTTTTTAATGAATTTTGTGTAGATTTAACTCTTCATCTCTCTTTTCTATTTTTTAAAGATTGAAGTTTATGCTCAAGGCACACCAGTTGGATATGTTAAACAGACCTGGGATCCTTGTTTGCCAAAATTTGTAATCCAGAATGAAGCCCGGGAAGATGTACTCAAAATTGTTGGGCCCTGTGTAGTCTGCAGTTGTTGTTCAGATATTGATTTTGAGGTGAATTAACACTAGAAGTTCATATTCTACTTTTTAAGAGATTAATCATGTTGTGTCTGATATAGAAAACCAGCTTGCCCATTTTATTGCTTGGTACAATGGTTTGATGGCATAGGATAAATCTTATAGTTCTTCTATATAGAATTCTTATTAGTTTGAGGGAAATTTCCAGCCCCAGAAAAAAAAATCACATAATGAGTTATATTCAGAAAGTATATTCTTTTTGATTAAACGGAATGAGGAACAAGGAAAATTTTAAAGCTTCCTGAATGTTCGATTAATTTGTTTTAGATTATCTTATTATTATTGTTTTAATAATATTGTAAAGATTTCCTACGACTATTGAATATTGATTTGATTTCCGAAGATATTTTTATTTACATTTTTATTATTACACTATTTTTCTTACTGACATGAAATAGTGATATCTGCTTCAAGATGCTTGAATTTTCAACATTATAAATTTTTTTCTGTATTTTCTTCTGAACTAGGTATTATCTTTAGATGACAACATTGTTGGAAAAATTTCCAAGCAGTGGACTGGTTTCGTGAGGGAGGCTTTTACAGATGCTGACAATTTTGGAATCCAGTTTCCAATGGATCTTGATGTGAAAATGAAAGCTGTTATGCTTGGAGCTTGCTTCCTTATAGTAAGTATAATATTCTCAGATACTGTGTAATACAGGGGTATCAAACTTGCGGCATCAGGTGACGTATTGGGACTTTTTTTCCTCTTCGCTATACCAGGCGTGGGCGTGGCCAGCATGTGACATATCTGGCCCTTGGGCTGGCAGTTTGACAGCCGTGGTGTAATACATCAGTGGAGTTCCTAACAGAATTTACTATAGCAGCTTGAAAAGAGTTTCTTTTTTGAACCATCAGGAGCAGAGGTGGGTTCAGCAGGTTCTGACCAGTTCTGGAGAACCGGTAGCGGAAATTTTGAGTAGTTCAGAGAACCAGTAATAAAAATTCTGACTGGCATTGCCCCCATCTATTCTCTGCCTCCCAAGTCCCAGCTGATCAGGAGGAAATGGGGATTTTGCAGTAACCTTCCCCTGGATTGGAAAGGGAATGGAGATTTTATAGTATCCTTCCCCTGTCACGCCCACCAAGCCACGCCCACCAAGCCATGCCAGTAGTAAAAAATTTTTGAAACCCACCACCGATCAGGAGAATTGCTAAATTCTTTTGTCTGCCAGAGGAAGTTATCTAATTATCTCAAGTGTTAAGTTTGCTAGCCATTTCTGAAAGAAACTTCCAAATTTCCAAAGCATACTTGATTAGATAAAATTCTTAACGGTATGGAATGGACTGCTGAAAGAGTTGCAATTTTAAGGATGGAAGCAGCACATGATGTAGTCTTCTCCACACTTTCCAAACTCAACACCCTTTAGATTAGAGATTTTGGAATCCGTAGCCCCAGCCTCAGAACATGAGGATGGGGAAGTTGTACTGTGGTATGTCGGTTTCAATGAATCCCACCATAAGGATTTTTTTAATTAAAAGAAAACTGTTGAGTAAAATAGAAGAATGTCTGAATTTTAGCTAACAATTTATTTAATTATTCTCTGTTTGTTTTCTTTTCAATAGGATTTCATGTTTTTTGAACATTCAGGACAAAATCGACAACAACGTGCTGGAGTCTGGTAACAGAGTACAATCTTCATTGTAAGAACTTCCAGCGAAGTAGTTTCATCATTTTTATTTTCAGTGGATGTCTCTTCCAAGAGATTTTCATTAAACACTCTTTTTCTTTTGGCATTATACCATAGCTTCTACATAAGTAGGATTTCAAATTACTTCTAAATTATGAAGGCTATTTTAGAATTATAGTTATGTATAATGACACATTGAAGTGATTATACGTATTTATATTAAAAGTCAGGAACGACTAGCACATATGTGCGAGGGGAACCTTTACCTTTACCTTATATTAAAAGTGAGATCTTACCATGCATCCTCAACATTATTTCAAATAATGTTAATGTGAATGTTATACTTTGTACTGTAACTTGAAGTGATAATCAGATTTATATTTTGTACATAGTGAATATATAAAGTGAATTTTTCAAATAAGGTTTTTGTATTTTGAGTATTTCTTAAGGTAGATCACGTTTTCCATTACAATACGCATTGAATCTGATAGTCTCTGTAATTTTTATCCTATGTGTGCAGAAATAAAAATAGTGTACCAGGAAGAATATCATTTTTACAACTTTTTTTTTTACATTTTTACAACTATTTTGCAAACAGTTGAATGCTATAATGTTGGAGTATGACTGTTGTAATAATATGAATGTACTGTACTTTTTGAGTGCTCTCATCCTATTTTTTTAAATGTTTCCTACCCTGATTCTTGTTGTAGGATTATGATACATTCGAACAAACTTTTTAGAAATTACACCAAAGATGTGCTTTCTTCATCTGATATCAGGAAAGGGTGAACATGATCATACTTGAGTACTGGATACCATTTATGTAATTTTCAAATTCAGACTTCTTAGACCTAGATTACTCTGTTTCTTAAAGTGTAGTTCAAGGAACCTTGGAAAATATTTTATTTTTGTTAGTATCTAATGGATTTAATATTGCTGTTTTTACACGACAATAAATATCCTATATTATGTACCATGTAATATATGGTACATGTATTATGTACCATGTTAATTTTAATATAGTAAATATTGATAAATTTAACCCATACTTACAGTAACAGTATAACAGAGTCAGAAGGAACCCTGGAGGTCCTTTAGTCCAATCGCCTGCTCAAGCAGGAGACTCAATACTATTCTGGACAAATGGCTGTCCAATCTCTTCTTTAATATCTCTCGTGATGTGATGTGACCCACAACTTCCAGAGACAAGCTATTCCACTGGTAAGTGCCCAACTGTTACTTCTTGTCTGGCCCTCAGGTGCTTTGGAGAATAAATTAACCCTCTCCTTGCTGTAGTAGCCCCTTAAATATTAGAAGACTGCTATCAAGTAACTCCTAGTCCTTCTCTTTGTTAGACTAGGCATACAGTACCCAGTTCCTGCAACAGTTCATTGTATGTTTTATCCTCCAGTCCCCTAATCTTGTCTACCCTCTTTCTAGAGACTCAACATCTTTTTTTGTATCATGGTCATACAAAACTAGACACAGTGTCCCAACTGAGTCTTACCAGTGCAATGAAAATCTCTTTTGTGTGTTCTCCATAATTTTCAAACAAGGGAAGGGGTCCTGAGAGCAAAAAGTTTATAAAACAGTGATCTAGATCAGATTCCTACATCAACCTACTGCTACCCTTTCCACAATTCTCATCAGACACACCAACAATAGCTAAGCATCCTACAACCTACCCATTGGGCTCACCACCTCGGGTGATTACAGATAATGAGGTGCAAGGTCTATTTCACAGACAAAAGTCAGGAAAAGCACAGGGGCCAGACAAGATAACTCCTTGCTTAAAAGCTTGTGCTGACCAACTGGCCCCCATCTTCACCTGCATCTTTAATAAATCACTAGAGATGTGCTATGTTCCTTCTTGCTTCAAACTATCATCCCAGTGCTGAAGAAATCCTCTATCAAGGAACTGAATGACTTCAGGCCAGTTGATCTAACACCTGTAGTTATGAAGACCTTTGAAAGGCTAGTGTTGGCCCACCTGAAAACCATCACAGATCCGCTGTTAGACCCCTTGCAATTTGCCTACCGAGCAAATAGATCGACAGATGATGCTGTTAATATGACTCTACGCTACATCCTACAACATCTTGAATCTCCAAAGACCTATGCAAGGGTCCTCTTTGTAGACTTCAGCTCAGCATTCAATACCATCATTCCAGATAACCAGCCAGCGGTACCTGAACACACTTGTAAATTCAGGTGGGCCAGCACTAGCCTTTCAATGGTCTTCATAACTATAGGTGTTAGATCAACTGGTCTGAAGTCATTCAGTTCCTTGATGGAGGGTTTCTTTGGCACTGGGATGATAGTGCCTAACAGACAGGAAGCAGCAGGTGAAGGTAGGCAAAATCACATCAGATACCTGTACAATTAGCACAGGAGCCCTCCAGGACTGTGTGCTCTCTCCACTTCTCTTCTCTCTCTATGAATGCATCTCAAAAGTTCCCTCTGTTAAAGTACTGAAGTTTGCAGATGATTGATCTCATTCGAGACAACAATGAATCTGCATATAGACAGGAAGTTGAACAACTAGCCTTGTGGTGCAACCAGAACAATCTTGAACTAAATACAGCGTAGAAATGGTGGTAGATTTTAGGAGTAACCCTCCTTTACTACCATGTCTTACAATACTAGACAACAAAGTATCAACAATAGAGACCTTCAAGTTTCTAGGTTCTATCATATCTCAAGACTGAAAATGGACACCTAACATCAAAACATCATAAAAAAAGCACAACAAAGAATGTTCTATTTGCGCCAATTCAGAAAGCTCAAACTGACCAAAGAGCTGCTAATTCAGTTCCACAGAGGAATTATTGAGTCTGTCATCTACATTTCTGCAACCAATCAAGACAGATATAGACTTAAACAGATAATTAGAACTGCAGAAAAAACAATTGCTACCAACCTGCCTTCCACTCAGGACCTGTATACTGCACGAGTCAAAAAGAGGGCTGTGAAAATATCTACAGACCTCTCACATCCTGGACATAAATTGTTTCAACTTCTACCCTCAAAATGATGCTATAGGGCACTGCACACCAGAACAACTAGACACAAGGACAGTTTTTTCCTGAATGCCATCACTCTGCTAAACAACTAATTCCCACAACACAGTCAAATTATTTACTAAGACTGTATTATTACTATTCTCATCCTTCCTAGAACCTATCTCTTCCCACTTATGAATATAACCATGTTACTTTTATATTTTCAATTTATATTGTTTTATTTGTTTCCTAGTATGATTTGATTGCTTATTAGTAACATATGACTATCACTAAGTGTTGTATCTTATGATTCTTGATGAATGTATTTTATTTTTCTTTATGTACACTGAGAGCATATGTACCAAAGACTTGTGTGTCCAATCACACTTGGTCAATAAAGAATTCTATTCTATTCTATTCTATTCTATTCTATTCTATTCTATTCTATTCTATTCTATTCTATTCTATTCTATTCTATTCTATTCTATTCTGGAAAGGAGGGACTAATTAACAACAAAGTATGAAGAAGACAGAAATATTCTGCCTTTTCCATAAAACCAGTATTTTTACTATAGGGAATCCTCAATTTATAACCAGTCATATTATGACTGCTGGGAGTTATGAGGGTCTCAAAATGACTGCTCTATGGCCATAAATATTTCTAAATGTTGCCTCCATGTAGTCACATGATCACACTTTGGGTGCTTGGCAACCAGCTCATGCTTATGACCACTTGCAGTGTCTCATGGTACCAAATGACTGATATTTTTGCCAGTTTCCAGCAAAAATACCCACTTGGAATAATGGGTTCACTTAACAACTGATTAACTAACAACTCTAGTGACTTGCTTAACTGTCACTGAAAATATCAGAAAGTCGGGTCTGGTCACATAGGTGCCCCAATTTATAGCCTTACAAGCAGAATTTGAGTGCCAATTATATAAGACAGGAGGATGAAGAGCATCACATCCATGGCACGACAACCTGTTCCCCAATTTTGAAATAATAGATACCTGGATTGCTAGTTTGGTTACCTATATCTGCATTCATGCTATTGACATGAACATACTAGAACAGTGTTTCTCAACCTTGGTAGCCTGAAGATGGGTGAACTTCAACTCCCAGAATCTCCCAGCCAGCTGGCTGGGGGATTCTGGGAGTTTAAGTCCACCCATCTTCAAGCTTCCAAGGTTGAGAAACACTGGACTAGAAGGATTAACTTGATTAAATAACTGCATCATTGGTAAATTTCTGGTTTCAAGAACAATTTTAGCAAAAGATAAATTGCTCCTTAATAAGAACTGAAAGACCATCACTATAAATAATGCCTACCGTGTGAAATTATTAGTCTTACTAATTATTAATCATTCTAGTAAATGAAAGTAGAGTCTAGCAATGATTGATACAGGTTTTTTTAAATAAATAAGACCACATTTGGGGCAGGAGCAGGGCACATGCGCAGGGCCGCACTCACGTTGCATTTTGGGGCACCTGCATATGCATTCACGCCTGTGGGCTTTGGGCACTTGGCACCAAAAAGGTTAATCATCACTGCTCTAAATTGTATCTGCAATTTGACTTGATAAAACATTGTAAGGAAAAGCTGTGACTATTTCCTGGAGCATTCCATTATTAAAGTAATGTGCATTATGCTTCTTAATAACTCATCTTCTAAATTACTCTCCTTGATAATCAAAGAAATCTGGAAAATAATTAACCCTTTTGCAACTCTTGTTCAAACTAGGACGAAAGCTCCAACTCAGTTGCTTAATCAAATTTTTTCTTCCTTTCATTGTCCCTTTCTCACTCTCTGTTATTCTTGACCACCTCTTTTGCTCCCACACATTTTATTTATTATTTATTTTATGGATATACGGGCTGTCCCAATTTTGAGTGAGTGAGTCAGTACATGTGCTGCCTGTACCATCACAATTTTTGCTTCAGGACAGAAATGCCTGTAAAGGAGAAGGAAAGTTCCAAGTTTTCTCTGTCAATAGCTGAAATGACTCAGAAAAAAATGCAGATAGGGATAGATAAGTCCCTATCTGCAGATACGTTTGTCTCATCACTTGGTACATTTTTTGCATACTCTAAGATCTTGGAGTTGTTTCAACTGGAGTTGAAACAACCAGTTTGATTTATCAAGTGTACTTCAGGATTAAATAGTGTTAATAAAAGCATTAAAAATATTTGTGGTACATTCTACATACCTTCTAAATTGTTTATTGTTAGATTATCCTTCTAGTTAATAAATTGAATATGAATACATTATTATTCATAGTTTTACTTTTTGATGTTTAGAAAGCATAGGACGGTTTACTGTACAGGGCCAGCAGAATGAATGCTATAAAGGTCACAGTTTATAATAATCTATATAAAATGGATTTTTAAATAAAATTAGGAGATCTAATCACTTTTT